GAGAGAGAGAGAGAGAGAGAGAGAGAGAGAGAGAGAGAGAGAGAGAGAGAGAGAGAGAGAGAGAGAGAGAGAGAGAGAGAGAGAGAGACTTTCGGTTCGACGACAGAGCGAAGACAAGTGCAGACGTTCGTCGAGGTGAGGAAGAGTGTGTCGGAGGAGAGGAGAGGAAGAAAAGGATCGTGGGAAGAATAGCGTGGACATTGCATAGAGGTTGCACGGAGATGGCGGACCAAGGTTAGTTTATGGTTTTTTCTTTGTTTTTCCCCATTCCTTTTTTTTTTTTTTTTTTTTTTTTTTCGGTTTATTGTTTTTTGTCGCGTGACGGTGAGGAGGGAGGGGAAGTTGGCATGATGTCGGGGGTAGGAAGTGGGATCAGGGGGGGGGCGGGATCGGGGAGGAAGATGTAGGATGATGTGGAGGTCGGGATGGGATGGGAATCAAGAGATCAGATCGGGAGGTCGTGGTCGGGAGACCAAGCGCAGAGAGGTAAAGGTGGGGACGAGGGGATCGAGATGGGAGGTCGGGACCGGGAAGAGAGGGTGGTGAGGAAGAGGGAGGAGAACTTGGCATGGGAGGTCGGGATTTTTTTTTGGTTTATTGTTTTTTGTCGCGTGACGGGGAGGAGGGAGGGGAAGTTGGCATGATGTCGGGGGTAGGAAGCGGGATCAGGGGGGGGGCGGGATCGGGGAGGAAGATGTAGGATAATGTGGAGGTCGGGATGGGATGGGAATCGAGAGATCAGATCGGGAGGTCGTGGTCGCGAGAGCAAGCGCAGAGAGGTAAGGGTGGGGACGAGGGGATCGGGATGGGAGGTCGGGACCGGGAAGAGAGGGTGGCGGGGAGGAGGGAGGAGAAGTTGGCATAAGAGGTCAGAATTTTTTTTTTGTTTATTGTTTTTTGTCGCGTGACGGGGAGGAGGGAGGGGAAGTTGGCATGATGTCCGAAGGAGGAAGCGGGATAAGGGGGGAGGCGGGATCGGGGAGGAAGACGTAGGATGATGTGGAGGTCGGGATGGGATGGGAATCGGGAGATCAGATCGGGAGGTCGTGGTCGGGAGAGCAAGCGCAGAGAGGTAAAGGTGGAGAGAGGGGATCAGGATGGGAGGTCGGGGGTGGCAGGGAGAAGGGAGGGGAAGTTGGGATGATGTCGGGAGGAAGGAAGGAGCGGCGGAGAGAATTCGAGACGCGAAGGAGGGGGAGGTGGTGAGATCAGGGAGGAAGAGACGGGATGATGTGGACGTCGGGATGGGATGGTGGCGAGGAAAAGGGAGGAAAAGTTGGCATAATGTCGAGGGAAGGAACAAGATCAGGGAGGAAGACGTAGGATGAAGTGGAGGTCGGAATGAGATGGAAGTCGGGAGGTCGGGATTGGGGATGGGTTAGGACGTGGTTGAAGAAGGAAGGCGAGAGAGCGAGACGTCGGGACGGGGAAGTCAGGATGGGATGGGAGGCGCGAATAGAGGAGGGAGAGGTCGCGATCGGAGAGGGATGGGACGATATCAAGATCGGGATCGGATGGGGAGGTCGCCGGAAAGAGGAGGGGTTGGGACGCGGTCGGGGAAGCAAGATGAGAGAGCGAGACGTCAGGACGGGGAGGTCGCAATGGGAAGTCGGGATCGCAAGAGAACGAGACGTCGGGACGGGGAGGTCGCAATGAGAAGTCGGGATCGGGAGAGGGTCGGGATTAGGGAGGGAGAATTGGAATAGGGAGAGGTCAGGGGGGGAAGGAGAGGTTGGCACAGGCAGGCAGAGGTGGGCACGAGGAGATCGGGATCGGAGGTTAGCACCGGGACGTCGGGATGGGAGACGTGAAGAGAGAAGGGAGGAGCACGATGTCGAGGCGGAACGGTATAGGAATGGGGAGGTGGGGATGACGGACCGGTCGGGAAAGCAAGGACAAAGAAGGAGAGGTTGGGATCGGGGACAAAGAGTTGAGACGGTATCAAGATCGGGACGGGATGGGGAGGTCGGGAGGGGGGAGTGAGAATGGACAAGCGGGAAGTCATGATCGAAGTCGGGATGGGGGATGGGAACGATGAAAGGCAAGCTCGCGAGGTCGCGGTCGGGGCATTGAGGGGAGAGAACGAGAGGTCGGGGGGAGAGTTGCAACGATGGAACGGGATGGTAGTCGCGACGTCGGGACAAGGGGTAAGGAAGAAAGATCGGGGGGAGGAGGAGCACGATGTCGAGGCGGGATCGTATAGGACTGGGGAGGTGGGGATGGGGGACCGGTCGGGAAAGCAAGGAGAAAGAAGGAGAGGTTGGGATCGAAGATGGTATCAAGATCGGGACGGGATGGGAAGGTCGGGAGGGGGCAGTGAAAATGGACAAGCGGGAAGTCATGATCGAAGTTGGGATGGGGGATAGGAAGGCAAGCTCGGGAGGTTGCGGTCGGGACATTAAGAGGAGAGAAGGAGAGATCGGGGGGAGAGTTGCAACGACGAAATGGGATGGTAGTCGCGACGTCGGGACAAGGGGTGAGGAAGAAAGATCTGGGGGAGAGTTGCGACGATGTCGAGAGAGCTAGAGGTCGGGAAGAGGAGATCGGGATCGGAAGTCAGGACCAGGACGTACGTCGGGATACGAAACGCGAACAGAAGAGGACAGGGTACGATGTCGAGGTCGGGATGACACAACAGCCGGGAGATTGGGATGAGAGCAAGGAGAGAGACGATCGGTTTTTTTTTTTTTTTTTTTTTTTTTTTTTTTTTTTTTCCTCCCGCAAGATCTCGGTCAGGATAAGGGACGGGAACGCAAAAACAAAAGGTAGGGAGGCTAGGCGTTGATACACGATCCGAAGAACAAAGGGAGATAGGAGAACAAGATCAAGACATCGAAATGGGAAGGGGGAATCGGAGTCAGAAGGTCGGGATCGGAACGTCGGGATTGGAAGGGTGAGGGAAGAGGCGGAGGTTGGCCGGGGGAGG